AGAAGAAGAAGAAGAAGAAGAAGAAGAAGAAGAAGAAGAAGAAGAAGAAGAAGAAGAAGAAGAAGAAGAAGAAGAAGAAGAAGAAGAAGAAAAAGAAGTAGAGGATGAACAAGATGAACAAATGAAGGACGAAGAAGGAGAAGAAGTAGAAGAGGAAGAGAAAGACGATGAACAGGATGAAGAATTTTACAGTGACGATAACGAAACACTTGACAATTGTGATGACGAACAAGCCAACGATGATGATGATAATAATGATATTGATTGTGACACAGGATATTTAGGAGATAACGATAATGACGATGTGATTTCAGACGAAGTATTTAGTAAAGTTTTAAAACAATTAATAACATTAAAATCAAAGAAAAAACAGTCGCAAGTTATTCCTTCAGCTAAAAAATTTCTCAGATTAAATATGAAATTTAAAGATAAATCGAAACAACAGAAAGAATTTATTACATCTGATTGGTTTTGTTGAGAAAGGAAAAGTTCCGATTGATATATCAGTAGACAACAAACATCTCTTGCGACATTTAGTCGACATACGTACGCCACGACAAGACGTGGAAGTATTCTTAGTTGAGGATCTTCGCACGCACGCCCCTGTACATGAAGTAATAGATCTCATTGACGCTGAGAATGGGCGAACGGGTAAAAGAGCTAAGACTCGTTGACTCGGAACGATTTAATCGTCTTATCTCAGCATTGCAACAATCGGTAGAACGTAAAAATATTGTAGATCAAGCGACAACATCGCGTGAAGAACAGGATTATGTACGAAGTTATCACGATGCAATGCGAAGTGTGAAAAATAAAAATCCATTAGCTGGTAGTGACATTGTGAATTATATGAATAAAAAGGACAAACTAAAGCAATTCCTTGCAGCACAGGCGCATCTTCCCAAACCTCCTGAACCCGATGATTCTCAAACCGGCATGTCACCGAAAAAACGACGTGCATTACGTCCCGCAGTATCCGTTGAAGGCTCGAAAAATAGAATATTGGATTTTTTTAAAGAGAAAGGTATCAAGAAAAATTCGTCATCGGGTAATTTAGAATACAAGGGAAATAGAATAAATGTACCCTACGATGATCTGGTGTACGATCTTACACACGATTTTACAGCCACAGAGCCAAATCTTAGCCAAAGAGAACAACATCTGGCTTTAAAAACCTTAAGAAAATTGGGTATGCCAGGTTCACTTTTTCGTAGTAAACGATTACGAAAAGCCTATACTAACATAAGACAGGGCGGTATGAGCAGTTCGGAAAGTGAAAGTGGCACACCCACACAATCTCTTTCCCGGTCACGAATTCCCATACGTTCAGCACCAACACCCACCACCACCACCACCCGTCGTTTACTTCCACAACTCCAGACCTTATAAATAGACGCAATCGGAATTACGGACGAAGTCGTCGTACCCTAGATCGACAGTTAGAAGGTTTGCTTAATTCTTGAAAATGAGTACACTTTCTTGTTTTGTCAGTAAATTTTTGGACACTGATCATTTAAATAATTTGGCTGGAAACAATGACAACATTACTTCTTATTACTTGGGTTGTTATCCTGCAGATGTCACTCCTAGCAATGTTCGTAGAAATTGTTGTTGGATATGGAATGTGGATGATTCTCATAAATCAGGCTCACATTGGGTGGGCGTTGTAGAAAAACACAAACGTATTGTGTTTTTTGATAGTTACGGTAAAACGCAAACATTTTTTAAACGTGATTATTGGCTCGACTGTTTTAAACAGTTAGGATGCGTGGTGTGCCTTTGGACGATGGATAACCAAAAAAAACTGGTCATCGGTATTAAGTGCGAGTACAAGCAAAGATAATTTAACCTCTTTATGTCAGAGCTTGACCAAGCAGTTAATACCTTTCTCCCACAGAAAATGATTAAAAAGCATCCCACAGATGGACCGTGGATTACTAATACGATAAAACTGTGGATTTCTAGACGCCAATGTGTATTCCAACAACAAGGGAAAAATTCTAAAGACTATAGTTTTTGGAGGAATAAGGTTCAACGTGCGATCCAGTCAGCAAAATCCAATTACTTTCATAGTAAGGTAGCAGATGTTGATAGAGTTAACCCTGTAAAGTGGTGGAAAGAGATTAAAAAACTATCAGGACAAAATATCCGACAGGAATGGTATCATCAGTTCCTTGATAACAACATGGATATAGAATCCCTAGCTAATAAAGTGAACGACTTCTTTGTTAGTCTTACAGATCACTTCGCCCCTATGAGCCAACCAACTCCACCTATGCAAATCCCGGAAGAATTCTTGGTTACGGAAAGTGAGGTGTTTAAGCATTAGCATCTAGCATTACTGCAAATTAGTAAGGCGATTGGCCCTGATAATATCCCGAATAGGATCCTGAAAGAGTTTGCTCCTGAACTGGCTCCAGTCATTCGTAATATTTACAACCAGTCAATGAAAGAAGCGAATATTCCATCACCACTTAAGTCATCTATCGTAATTCCAGTTCCGAAGATATCACCAACCTCGTTCCCAGGGTATTTAGGAAATACCCTGGTATGGGCTGGTCACGTGCCTCGTCCAAAATTTAGCGCCCGAGGAGGTGTGGGGAAAGTATCAAATTACATGATTCCAGAGGAGATATTTTGTTTAACAGTTAAAAACATAAATTTTGCGAATTATTAAGTTCAAAATACTTGCTAATTTTTGTTTAATTTCTTTGTTTTGAATTTACAATTCATTCTTACATTTTTGCCAACAGCCAAGTCAAGAAACCAAGCAAATCGTTACTCACAGTGCTCTCTCGTGTTGTTATTCAATGCCGTCTCTTCACACTCGAGCGCGGTTTTATAATAAACGTTTATTATGAGCTTTTCAGTCATCATTTCTACATATGTAATGTTTTTAAAATACGCCATTAGATTTGTCCTTTCTTGTAAATGTTTATATGCTTTGCACCGATTTAATTACTTGTTACTACGTCTACGCGTCTTGTTTATAAGATTGAAAGAAACAGTATTGTATTGTCTGGGACTAGAGCCCAATATTAGCAAATGTAAACATTTGATACTAGCCAAACAGAGAAAGTCTGTCAGTGATTATAAAATTTTGGATTTAGTACATAGTATCCGGTGATTATAGTCAGGCTTTAGCCTTTTTCTTGGTCTTTATTAATCATAATATTTTCCTAATATACTAAAACTATATATCACAAATTTACAGTGTCAGACGCGCACAGACTGTCATACGAATAAACATAAATTTTCGAGTTTTCTACTTCTACTAACATTTTTAAAGTTTTCATTGTGAATCATCTGTTTATTTCTAGTTCATTAGTCATTAATATGCTCTAAAAAACAAGGCTCTCAAATATATTTGTATATTTATTTGATAGTGTCATAGTGATATATGCATTTACAAGCAATCCTGGATATGACTGATAAAGACGATACAAGCGGTCCATTAAAAAATAACGGTATTCTATTCCACAAAGCAAAACATTTAAATCTCACTTGTATTATTAAGAATATATATAAAGCAAAAAATTTAAACTTGTGTGAGTTGTGTCAAAACGAAAGCTGTTTATAAAATTTATAAATGTTGTAAACACTACTATTAATATAAAGTGCCATTGAAAGACATAATATAGTATACTGTCGTTTGACTTATCTTTGACTTGTCGTTTGACTTACCGTAGATTTTCAACAGACAGCTAGATTTTAACATATACCATGATTATTGAGTTTCAGAAATGCCAACGGCCAATGCAGGAAGTTTTATAAGCTTTTATAGTCAACAA